AAATGCGCCTTCAGAGGTTAGACCTGCAGGGCCTTCAAGTTCAGAAGGTGAGACATGTAATTAAGACACATTTCCACTGACCCTGTGGAACAGAGAACAACCTGCACTTAGTGATGTAATTCAAAACTCAAGATTCAGTTTCCTGGTCTCCTTACTGAGAGACATCGAAGGACTTTTGTTCTCTTTGTCTTTTCAAACAACAGAAACTTGTAATTTGTTGGAAATTTAGGATTTAAAAAAAAAACAAAAAACTTCAGTTTCTGGTACAGAAGGTTTTAGGCAGAAATCACAGCTACAACTGTTGGCTTATGAACTTCGGATCTATTTTTGAACCTGTGTTTCTGGTTTGTGGCACAGCCATATTGATCATGTGGTCTTTCTTTCCCCTTCTCTGAATAGCTGAGAAACCACAGTTGGAGACTTGCAAACAGAGAGAAAAACCTGCACGTTAAATAAAAGCAAACCATAAATACGCAAGCCCTTATTTGGTTTTGTGAAATATAAAAGAACTTGACTTTTTAATTAATTCCTACAAGTAGTTTTCTTGTTTTGTGGTAAACCATCACACATTCTTTTGATAAGAAAGTGATAGAGCCAAATATTGGTGCAGGGGCCAGAAATTCTGCTAAATAATTACATAACTGATTTAAAATAGCTTTTTTAAGTATGGCTGTATTTACTGTTATCAATTCATTTGCTAGTCTCAAATTTTGAAATAAGCTCCCATAGCAAATTAGACAGGCAGTCCCACCTGCTGTTCTTTATTTTTTTATTTTTCTGTTCGGCTTTTAATTCAGTTGACTCTTAATTCTTTCAAGCTCCTATTTAATTAACTGAACTATTCTTATTTGTTTAATTGTATTTTGATGTTTGGTGAATCTAGAACTATTGTATTTATGCAAGATCTGTTGATAATTAATTAAAGGATTTTTATTAGGATTTATTGGAGAAATTTACCTCTGCATTTAACCCATCTCCTTGGGGAGCAGTGGGCTGCCATTGTGTGGCGCCCGGGGAGCAGTGTGAGGTTAAAGGTTTTGCTCAGGAACCCAGAGTGGAGGCTGTGGGAATCGAACCGGCTACTCTCAACCGCACTGATCTAACCACTAGACAAACACTCCCCTAACTATGCTAAGCACACATTTTTATATTAGTTTATTGGCATCTAGCAGTTTGGCCAACATAATTGTTTTCAATGTGCTTAATAAGTAAAGTTTTATTGTATTGTATGGAATTTACAGGTAAGGGCAATGGTAAAGAAGCCTAATTTTCCATTCATGACTGCAGAGTAATTCATATTCCAATTTAGGTTTCTTCTTGTATTTCCAGCAATAACAGATATAGACAAATAAAACTAATATTCCTTGTAAGAAAGTAAAATTCTATTTGTATTCTAACTTTCTCAGATAAGATCACAAAGTGTTAGGAAAAAACATGCGTAAGAAAAGCAAAATAAGTAAAAAAAAAACACAATTAATTTTCAGCCTATCTGTAATATTGCTCTAGTTGTGACTTGATTGTTAAAATAATGGGAGAGAATTCCCCAATCTGGGTACTGCAAACTAAATCGGCCAATCCTCACAGTTCTTAAACCTGTTAGGAGTAACGTAGGTACCAGCCCACCATGAAGAATAAAGCAGTTGTTAGTACTTCTTACTGTCAGAGGAAAGGAGACTAAACAGATATGTAAGCCGTGCTTCTTCGTTTTAATGTGAAAAGGGGTTATAAATATTTTCTCAAGGCACCGCGTTTGCCCACGTTCCCCACTAACACCAAATTAATTAGATATAAAGAAGTGTTTTCAGAAGTCTATTATCTCATTCAGAGTTTAAATGCATGGTTTTACTTTTTTCTGCTACTGAGTTGTACTTTTTAAAATGCAGAAAGCTACTTTGTTCTAAGTAAAAAATGAAGCCACCCACAGCTTCCTGTCATTATTGTTGAGACACTTCCACAGATTAAAAAGATTAAGCTCCTCAGGCATGGCCGCATGCTTGAAAACCAGCCTCAGTTTCACTGTCAAACATGTAGCATTCCTTGACACTGACTGAGAGGCAGGCCTTTGACAAAAGGCTAAATATGTGACTGAGCAAGTCTGAGGAGTGGCACATCTAGACCCAAAGGCTCCTTTGCTGCCATATTATATCCCTGAGAAAGGAATGTAAAGATTTTTTTTTTTTTGTCAAACAAGAGATTAATCTAACTTCCATCTGAGGAGGTTTATTTAAATGAAGAGACAGGAATTGAGGAAAGGTTCAATTACATGCAGATGACTGTGTGCGGTAATCCATAATTATTTCAGATTGATAATGATAGAGGAAGTATGTATTTCAGCCCACAGAGCAGGCTTTGTCACAGCACAATGCATTATTATCTCATCATGGCAGACAGGAGAAACGGTGGTCACACACTGCCCTTCCTGCTAAGGCTACAGGGAAGACTCCTTATAATTACCAGAAATACGGAAGCAAGGCTGCAAAACCTGAAGTGATTCACTGATAACAACACCACCTCTAAACCGCCCTTAAATAACCTGGATGGGTCCAGGCAGAATCTATTTCTGACAAGGAGATGCAGATACTGAAACTAAAGGCAGTTAGTTTAGTTTGAGATTATATTTAGAAAATGTAAAAAATACACTTACCTTTGATTCAAACTTCCGATATCTTGGAACCTGTCAGTTTTTTTTTTTTTTTTTTTTGTATTTCTTGGTGTCATACTCAGAAATATCATTTATTGGCTATAGTAAAAGCCAATAATACAGTGTATTATTTTGTATGTATCTCCATTAGGGCTGGATAATTTATTACATTTGCAATATAATCACAATTTACCAAATTGCAATTTTCAAATTGCAGACGTAAACATTTTTTTTTTTTAAATCAAACTGTATTTAACAAAAGTAGGACACTAAGTTTATCACCCAAGGCATTTAAGTGGATAAAACACTCCAAATGAGTTGGTGTCACTATGTTAGTGGTCACAGAAAAGCAGAGAGAGTTGCGGCTAGCACATAGATCCATGCATGAAAGTAGAAGTAAGCACTTTTTCACACAAAGGATACAGTCAAGTCTGTAACAATGGGCTCTGGGCAACGAAGGGTTCAAAAACTAAAAGTTTGGGATGAAACATCTTCAAGCTTGGGTTCAGTGCAACGGAAGAAAATTAAATCTCAGTTGCAATTTTGGTTAGAAACAATTAATAATTTAGATTTTTGGCAAAATCTTTCAGCCATAGTCTGCTGTATCCGAGTGTTAGTTGAAGCTTAAACAAATCGCTTGATGACAAACAGTAGATTTTAGCTGCATCCTGGTACAAGAGATCAAAGCTTGTGCTAATGAAATAGCACATGTTCCCCTTTATTTCTTTAACAGTCCACCCATTATCCCCAGACTCCTTTTAAAACATCTACAATCATACCCATAGCAAAACAAATTTGTTTTCAGAGACCCCTGCCTCAGTTCACAGTAAGCACTAGATTATTTATTTTTGGTGTTTTGGTAGTGTTTTCTGGGGTTTAAAATCTAGAGGCATTGCTTTGAATCTAACACTATGAAACTTTACAGAGAATCATGCTTCATATTTAATGACAGCATGACTTCATATGAACTTTTATGACTTTTCTTCTTTCTGTTTTTTTGTTGTTGACATTTTTAAATCTCCCCACGCTTTAATAAAAGTCTACTTTTAAAAACCACATTGCTGATACAGAAATTGGACGTTACCTATGGTGCTTATAGGAACCTTGTCATTTATCATCCTTGTTTTTTTTTTTTTACAACATCACATGATGATGCAAGGTTTTAATGTAAACTTGTATTTTTAAATATGCAAAAATATATTATCTAATGCATGGCTTGGTATATAGGGCGTGCCTTTCAGTTTTTTTACATTTTGATACAGAATTTTACTGGGCTACTGCCATTATAGGCTAGGGTATTGTCTTTGAGCAATAAATTAATCCAAAATGATTTGAATTGTGAATCTCAGTACATTAAATTTATGATTAAATACCTGTGTAATGTAATGTGTACAATGTTTATCTACCAAAGCAACCAGAGAAAACGAAAGAAAAAACGAACAACTGTAACATAATCGTTTAAAAACAAAAAAGCGAAAAGAATGCGAGTTCTTATTTCGTCCCTCGCTGGATGCCGTAGTGCTCTGGCTTGGTTGCCAGGAGACGTTTAAAGACGTTTAAGGCGCAGCTGCAATGGAGAAGTACGAGAAAATCAAAGTTGTTGGGAGAGGAGCTTTCGGGTAAACTCGCTTCTTCTTTGCACAATAAAGTCGTTTAATTTCAAAACATTTTATCTTTGTGAACAAACTGAACTGCCAGAAGTTTATTTAAAGAAGTAGCTAAAAGCGAAGTTTTCCCTTTAGAGAATCTAACGGAATGTCTGCCTCCTGATGAGGGGAAAAGAGGGAGGAGATAAACGAGGGCCGGACATTTTTCGGAAAATGTTTTATTTTTAAAGTGGAAACATGAATAATTAATCCGGTTAAAGTTGTCTTGAATTCATAAAAGCTAAACAAATTAGTTGAAAAACAAATGAGTCCAATTCAAAGGACTAAAAGACAGCAGGGTTATAAGGGGTGATTCACAGTCCTTTATGTGTTTGATTCATAGAGACCCAATAATCATAAATGCAAATCCAACACAAGCAGTGATAAAGTTGAATATAACTATTAAATGAGGTAAAAGTATTTTCTAAAGAAAAAAAGATCTCGTTTTGCTCAACTTTAAATTAAAAGAAGGATTTTAAATTTATTTATTAAAAATAAAAGATTAATTTTTTCATAGAGGGACCTTATTTGAGCAAAATATTTTATTCCCTAGGTACAGCATCCCTATTATAAAACGCAGCGATGATAGTAGGCATTCTTCAGCAGATTGATGGGGTTCATGCAGAGCAATTCTGTGAAAAATCATTAAGATAATTGAAACGATGTGAGGAAACACTATCAGGTCTGGTGGAAAAATTTTAACTAGAGCCAAAAGAGAATGGTTAAGACAAAATTCATATTTATGTGTAAGAATGGTTCGGTCAAAATCACTGAATTTCAGATAATGAACTGGCAGAGATTTACTGTAGATGTCTAGAGATAATTTCTTTATTCTGTCTTGGAGAAATATGGTACCTTAAAAGCATCCCAAATATAATTACAGCACTATTGGATTGTACAAAAATGTTTAATAAGGGGGAGGACTCATTTTCTGCAGATTGATTGATGCAACTTTGTGAAGGTTTTTCAGAATTTCCCATTCCCTTTGGGGTTGTAGAGTCATTTTTGTTGATCTATCACATATCATTCGCCTTATTTGATATAACTTTTCAAAATGGAGAAAAACTAAAGAGGGGTGAAAAATGTTGCGGCTACCAATTTAGAGAAACTAAATACATTTGTTTTCACCCTTGAGTTTGTATCTATTTCATGTTGTGATGATCTCACCAAAACCAAACTGCCAGAAGTCCCCCGTCCCTGTTTTTCATTTAGAAGAAACACTGTGTAGCCAATTCTTATTTTTTTTTTTCATTTTGTCTTCTTCTCTTGGTGTGTCAGGATTGTTCACCTGTGCCGCAGGCGCAGCGACGGGGCCTTTGTCATCCTGAAAGAGATCCCAGTAGAGCAGATGTCACGAGATGAACGCCTGGCAGCCCAGAATGAGTGTCAAGTGCTCAAGCTGCTCCACCATCCAAACATCATAGAGTACTATGAAAACTTCCTGGAGGACAAGGCCCTCATGATAGCTATGGAGTATGCACCAGGTTAGCTTTTCTCCAATTACACAGCCCTCTTTTTAGAGTTGCAGCTCAGTTTACTTTTCCCATGGGTTCCACGCCTTTCACACATGAGGCCTGAGAAAACCTCTTGAGACCATCTGTGTATTTTGCAGGACTGTGTATTGAGGTAAATTATACAGGTTTGCAGCTGTGATTTCAAAGTTCAGTGCCATAACTAGCTTCTTCACCCCCTAAAATCATCAGATTAAAAGCTTAAGCTGTCTACATTGTCAGACATAAAAGAACAGCTTTAAACCATCTTTAAAAGGTGTTTCATTATCTCATTGGGCCGTTAATTTACGTGCTTTGCCAGTCATTTGAAATGTTGATGTGATTGGGAATACTACAAAAAATAAAAGTCTTATTTTCTGTGCTTTAGATGTGCTTAAATATTTCCTCTACAGCTATCTTTATTTCTAATTTATCTTTGTGTGCTTACAATATAACTTAGTAAAATAAATACAAAATCAAACTTAAGCAGGTTTTATATTTAAACCAAGCATTTTGTGCTTTCTGTTCTGGTTTTGATTGTTGAAATAAAGGATGGATATGTGAGAGCCACTTTTATGTCTACTGTAAGATATGATGGAGGATCTCTAATAATATACGGTAGTTACTGCTGAATTAAAAAAAAAAATTTTTTTTAACCCTTTTGGTTGTTTTTAGCCCAAATAAACCTTCTGTATAAATGCCGCTCATAAGTGACAATCATTGATACATCGGAAGGTCAACCTTTAAGTTTCTAGGCCGTGTTGTTTGGCCGGAATCAAACTGCTTCCGGTTGATTCTTTATTATGTTTTCCTGTTGGTTGCTTAAATGGTTTATTGCTATTCACAGATATGCCTCTCTGATGGGTAAAAGTAATGTCTAAGTTACAATCTTGAAGCTCCTTAATATTAACAGTTGTAAAAGTCTAAATATATAGATAATCGTTGCTTTACATGTTAAGGTTATGGATTCTATTTTTTATTAAGCTCACAGTAACAAAATCTGCTATTAAAATAATTAATTATTTGCTTTTATAGCTCTATCTCTCCCAGTTCAGCTTCCCTTCCCTCCAGTTTTAGAGACTGTGTTCGTTCTTTTTTCCTGCAGGAGGAACCTTGGCTGAATACATACAGAAGCGCTGTAATTCCCTCCTGGATGAGGACACCATCCTTCACTTCTTTGTGCAGATCTTGCTCGCTCTGTACCACGTGCATAACAAACTCATTCTGCACCGTGATCTCAAAACTCAGAATATTCTGCTGGACAAACACCAGATGATCGTCAAAATCGGAGACTTTGGTATCTCCAAAATCCTTGTCAGCAAGAGCAAAGCATACACGGTGATCTGTTGTTTTTTTTTTGGTTTAGGACCTGCAATTAATCTGTTTGTGGTTGTTGGATTGTGAACCAAGTAAATTGTGGAAAGCATAGAATTAAGATACGAAAATGATTAGGATCACTGATTAGAGGTGTGAGATTGTCTTTCTGTTAACGGCTGCCTGTTTTGCTGTGCAGGTAGTCGGGACCCCCTGCTACATCTCCCCCGAGCTGTGTGAGGGAAAACCGTACAACCAAAAAAGTGACATCTGGGCCCTGGGCTGTGTCCTGTATGAGCTGGCGAGCCTTAAGAGGGCCTTTGAGGCAGCGGTATCGGAAACTCTTCTCTGTGTTTTAAGATGCTGTTAAAATTCTGCTGTTTTTTTGGCTTTTATAGTGATAATAGGTTTTCTAATGTATAATACATTAACTACTGTCCAGGAAAGATATGAATCCCTTTTTAAAAACATGGCTGCTGTGCTTCATTCACAATGAAATAATTAATTTAAAAGTTTTTTTTAATGCTCACATCTGTCCTTTTAAGCTAATAGAAGGACCCTAAATTTTGGCTCATTTTAAATTGTCGATTTATCCTGTTCCTTTTTTTCTCCCAGAATCTACCTGCCCTTGTTTTGAAGATCATGAGTGGAACGTTTGCCCCGATATCGGACCGTTACAGCCCAGAACTCCGCCAGCTCATCCTCAATATGCTCAACCTTGATCCATCTAAAAGGCCCCAGCTCAATGAAATAATGGCTTTGCCCATATGCATCAGGCCCCTCCTTAATCTCTACACAGATATCGGGAATGTAAAAATGCGAAGGTCCTTATGATTTGGATGATTGATAGGAAATACATAATTGAGCTTGTGGGTTTTCATTGATTGGTACAGTAATAAGGACCTGTAACTTTTTTTTTTGTTGCAGAATTGAGAAACCTCTGTCTACTGTGCAGCAGCGCGGCAGACCAGGAGGGAGAGTTCCTACTACCAGGGCCAGAGGTAATCCTATTGTTTGTGTAGTTAAGCTCTAACTATGAGACTCTAACAGATTATTTCTTCTTGCTGTTAAACAGATGCATTAGGGGGTTTGGGATCAGGAAAACTGCATCCGCTCCCACTGTCCTCTGTGTATACTTGGGGAAGTGGGATCACAGCGCCTCTCCGTCTACCCATGCTTAACACTGAAGTGCTTCAAGTGTCTCTCGGCCGGACTCAAAAGATGGGAGTCACCAAGTCTGGCCGTCTGATTACCTGGGAGGTAACTTTCATACTTCCATAACTCCCTGAAGGAGCAAATTATAGTTCCTTGTTAGTTTCCTTCTTTGCTACATTAAAACGACAAACCTAAATGCATTTTACTGGGTTTGTAGGTTATCTTCCAAAGCAAATTAGAACATACTCATGGAGGAAAATTAATATATATTTACTTATTTTTAGCCCCTTAAATCAACCACCTGAATTAGAATCTCTGCGATTTCTTTAAAGGTTTGTCTCTACAAGCCGGTTACACCCAAAGACTGATGTTGTTTTTGCTTTATTGTAGAATAGGTCATTTTTAGCCAGTTTCTCTGCTTGATTTATCTTTGTCCTTCTCACAAATATAAACTGGTTTAAATGAAATCAAGCTCCAACTGTATCATTAGGGTTGTGGTCCTGCTGGAAGTGAACCTCTGTCCCAGTTACTTATGGAGCCTCTGACCAGTTTTCCTCTGCTGTTCTATTTCATCATCATCATCATCATCATCAAAAAAAAAAAAAAAAAAATCAACTCTGATTGCTTTCCTTGTCCTTGCTGAAATAAATATAAATTTGTACTGGTCCTCCCACCATGCTTTATCATGGGGAGAGATCGTTCAGCAGAAAGTGAGATGATATGTCATCGTCCCTTTACCAAACATCCCAAAACATTTCGGTCTGATCTGACCAGAGGACCTTCTCAGAGTTTACATTATTAAAACTAAACATGGTTACCAAATTTCTGCATCTTGTAATATTGTAAGTTTAGAAATAACAACAAAGTCGTCACTAGTGCGTTTTTGGTTTCTCATCTATTTAAGCAGTATACGTTAAGATATATAACTTTTGCAAACAGGTATATTAGAAATTACATATATCAAAGCATATATAGACCTATTAGTCATTAAAAGCATATTGCGGTGGGTGACTGTAATTTTCTCCAGTCACGGTCTTCTTCTGTCACAGGCTCCATCGGTTGTGTCGGGTGATACCGGTCCTGCAGGTTTGGCGGATCAAATGCAGCCGCTGTTCATTTCTCGCTTCCTTGAGGGTCAGTCAGGTGTCACCATCAAGTCTGTGTCCTGCGGTGATTTGTTTACCACCTGCATGACAGGTGAGTGATCTCCTTTGCTTTGTACTGCTCAGAGAAACCTAAGAAAAGCCTAGGTTAGCTTTTCTTACCTTTCACAGAGTATAAAATACCAAGACAATATCTTAGGACAAAGAAAAAAGCATAAATACAGCAGGGTGTTTCTTTTTGTGATTAAGTGTACAGTAATAAATGTTTTGATTGTCTGGCATTCTGACAGAGCCTCTTTTCTTGAGCTCAGACTGATGTGCCCCATCAGTCAGTGTGCTGCAGGTGGCTTTTGTCAGCCTGTCAGACACTGCAAAGCAGATCACACAGGATTAAATACGCTTTCATTTTATGTTTTTCCTTCTCTCAATCCTCACTGTTCCCAGATGACACATTTAAACACTTCATCCCTTCATATAAAAAAGGAGAGTTCTGTTAATCAATGCAGCATTATTTGTAGACTCATCAACTTAAAGTGCAGTTAATCCCCTGTTTTTTATTTTTGCTTTTCAGACAGGGGTATTATAATGACATTTGGAAGTGGAAGCAATGGTTGTTTGGGACATGGTAACTTCAATGATGTAACACAGGTAGGACTTCAAATATGTATGTGTCCTTAAAAGTTGTCCCCTTAGTTTATCTACTTTTATTGTTATTCAGCTCCTTTTATCACAAGATAATCATAATTTAATCCAATCAAAGTGCACAGCTTTTTCAAAAAAAGACAGTTATGACTTCTGGTTTTTAGGGCTTTTGTATTCTTATTTCTAACTTGTAGGTTTGTGAATTGACAAACAAAGGTATCCATCTCAGACCTTTTTGCACCATCTAACTTGTCCTGTTCCCAGTGATCAGGCCCTGCTGGTTCTGACTCATGCAACACTAAACATCAGAGGTCACAGAGTTTTTTCAGCGGTAACCAGAGGACTCTGAAAGCCTCTACCATTAGAGAATGACAACTATGTTAAGAAGAAAGAAAATTCTATATTCTTTTAGATTGCTCTCAATTTGTATCTATGCACTGTTGCATAACTTTGTTAGCTTTTCCTGTACACAACAAATTTTTATGTATTGTGGTGTAAACGGCTAGGCCCCAGATTATTCATCTTCAGATTATTAATCATTTTACCAGTTTGTTTCTTCTGACCTGAAGTAAAATTAATCAGTTATTGTGTCGCATCTAATACTCTAGCCTGGAACTGATAAAGAATATGTGGTTAATGCTGACCACCAAATTAGGATGATGATAAAAAGGCCTTCTAACCCCACAGACTTCTCATTATCGAAGAAAATACTTCAGAAAATCAGAAGAAGCATGTAAAAAAAAAACTGCTTTTTATAAATAAGGTTTGATTGTGATAGCATTAAAGATTTGTCCATTGGTTGTTTAAATCATTTTTTTACAGGTTTTAATGTTTTCTCATTTAAACTGCTTTAGAGAGATGCAAGTCTCAGTGCTTGTTACTTAGAGGTATTTTAATCTAACTCTACTAAGAGTATAAATACTATTTATGTACTTATACTGTAGAAAAATAACATTTTCCTCAGAAAATGTGGCCAAAAGAATAAAATGAGTAAAACTGTTGAAGCCTTATTTTCTCTAACTTTGTGACATTTAAAAATGTCATCCATTAGGCTAACAGCTTTCACCATTTGTTTAAAAGTCAAACTTATAAGTCATTTTTGGCAGGTTTCATACTTGAGATATTTTCCAAGACACCACCCTATCTGACTTAAAGCTTCATTTTTTGTTGTACAAAACTTGCTGAGAAAAACTCTTTAAATAATGTATGCCTCTAAACGTAGAGGAAAATATAGTTTCTCTTTGTGTGACTTTGAGATAAAAGTGTCTTAAAAATGTGAGCTATAAAAATTAACATACTTTGTCTATTTGTTTCAGAAGCAAGGTCGATCACCTTCACTTCTGCCTCGACTACAATTGACAATAAGATAAAATTTCCCCAATTTTTGATATTGTCTCCTTATTTTTTATAAAACCTAGGGCCTTCCTTTTGGGAATCAGATACAACTATACAAGTAGTTCTAAATATTCATCTATTAAAAAAGGAATAAGACTTTTAAATTCAAACACTTGAAGCCCATTTTACCTACATTATAAACTACAAGGTCTCTCATGGTCCCCACTTTTTGTAAATATGTAACACTACAGAAACAATTAATAGCTTTATTTTAATTTCTTTCCTCTATCTGCTGATTTTTAGCCCTCGGCCTATTTTGCTTCTTCACTTGAGCTTCTTCAGCAGATCTACTAATCCATTAAACACGCGGCATAAAAATGCTTTTGTTTTTAGTAATACTAACAACTATTATCTTTTGTCTTTGTTTATGCAGCCTAAGATTGTGGAGGCTCTTCTGGGCTATGAGTTGGTCCAGGTTTCTTGTGGAGCCTCTCATGTTCTCGCTGTAACCAATGAAAGAGAAGTGTTTGCTTGGGGAAGAGGAGACAACGGTACGACAAATTGATGAGTTGTCTCTCTTATTCTGTTGCTTGTTTAAACACCACTATTTATGACAGAATGACTGTTTGCCTTCTGTCTGGAAGGTCGCCTTGGCCTGGGCACCCAGGACACCCACAACTGTCCCCAGCAGGTGTGCTTACCTGCAGAGTTTGAGGCCCAGAAGGTGGTGTGCGGCGTTGACTGCTCCATGATCATCAGCACCCAGTGCTGCATTCTAGCATGTGGTAGCAACAGGTTGTTATTCTCGCTCTGAGCCCAAAACAATGACCAGCTCATTTTACATCATCATTTTACATCTGTGTGTGGGTTGGCGATGGATTAAAAGCTTCAAGAAATAGTTGTGTCACGCTTAACCTGTGTGACTGCATTCTTCAAAAATGACAGTAAAGTATTTCTTCCTGAAAAGATCTCCGTGTTAGAAGTGGGGCAATGAGAGTTAGTGCAATGTGTAAATATTACATAACATCTTAAATAGAAATAGAAAATTCCTTTATTGTCCCATAATGGGGGAATCCTGTCTAAAATATCTTTGCAAGTGTATTATCAAACATTCATTTATTTCTAGAAACATTATGAATTTCTTTATCCACACGTGGTCAAAATAATTAATATAGACTTGAATGTATAAATACACCCCTACAAATATTCATTTAAATTATAATTGCATCAACAATATATTTTTTAGCTATCGGAAGCTATTGGGGTTTTTCTATCTGGACCCTATGTTTGTTAAATGTTGGCAGAGTTAATCTAAATGGACTGATTCTGTTGGAGCAAACAGTTCACTGCTGGTAGTGTAGTAGTTTAACATCAAAATGGACTAAGAACAAATAACTTGCTTCTTTAAAGTGCACCCTCCTTTAGCTCTAAATTTATAGTATGGGGGGGGGGGGGGGGATGAAAGCAGATTTAGCTAATGGACCAAAATGACTGCTGTTGGTATTCTTCAATGAGTCACGTTAAGGCATTGAAACTAACAATGCTATAAGAATGACCATCAGAGAAGAGTAAAATATGTTTAATAGATTAAGTTGTAAAAAGATTGTTACTGCACAGAGGATGGAATCAGAGTGAAGGATGAGGATGTGCTCAGTTCTTTAACTTCTTCCAAATTTAACTCTACTAATAACCTTATTTCTGCTACAGCTGTTTATGTTTGAAAGGCCGTTCTGTGTCAGAAAGCCAGCCAATTTGAATAAGACAACAAATTCTAAGAAGAGAGATTAAATTTCGAGCCAGAGTTATTCCAGAGTTTTTTTAATGACTTAAAAAAAGATGGAGGTCAGGAAATATTTTAAGTATTTGTTGGGTTATATGCCAGGCAATCTTCTTGATTTCTACTCTCTCTGGATTACAGACAATCCACTAAAGTTAGAACTTTGCAAAAATTCTTGTTTAAGAATAACTTAATTGTCTGTTATATTTTAATTCTTTATGAAACAGGAACAGGTCTAATAAATATATCATTCTCCTATAATTTAAAATAGCTTCTCACCTGAACCGTATAGGAAATAACTTATTGAGTGTGAGGAGGTGGTTGTTGTTCCACTTTTGTTTCTGCTCTTAGGTTCAACAAGCTTGGTCTGGATAAGATTACAGCTGGAGAGGAATCTAATCCTTCGAATCAAGTTGAAGAAGTTCATTCTTTCACCCCGGTTCAGTCCGCCCCACTCAACTCAGACAGGATAGTTTACGTCGACATTGGAACGGCCCACTCTGTTGCTGTCACAGGTCAATAATTAGGGATGATATTATGAAAACGTACCTGGAACTGAATGCTTCATAATCTGTCCTGTTTGAAACTTAAACTGTTAGAATTAATTTTTGTCCTTGCATCTTTGTTTGTTTAATTTTTTGATATTCAGAAGAGGGTCAGTGCTACACGTTTGGCAGCAACCAGCACGGTCAGATGGGCTGCAGCTCCCGGCGCAGCAGCCGTGTGCCCTACCTGGTGCCCGGCCTGAAGGACATCGCCTCTGCTGCTTGTGGTGACGCTTTCACCCTGGCAATCGGAGCAGGTGATTAGGTGTTCTATGTTATTGGTAGCAACTTATTTAGGATAGAAATTATTAACTATATCAAATGTTTACTGCAAGGTTTTGAAAATCACCCTGATTGGTTCATTCCAAGTGTTTTGGTTTTACAGTAGGGGGGCAGCATGTGGCAGCTCTTCATTAGCTGTTGTAGAACAAAATAGCAGAGAACGCATACTTTTCCATAACTGCAACTGTACATGCCTGACCCAGGACAGTAACTATCAGAAAGTCCTTTATTTTTGTTTTTTCATAGATTTTCCTTGCCTCTAGATCTCAGTTTGGTCCTACATCTGAGCGCTTTTGTAATTTACTGGATGCCCACACAACAATCATTCCCTATTAGTGATGAAGTACATTGCAAAGAGGTTTATCCCCTCAAGATGATTCACTTAATGAGCACCTAAATGTTTTAGACTATCAACCAAATTTTATTATTAGACAGAAGTTGGGTTATTGATTATTTAAAATCGCCCAAGCTAATGCCAAAACTGTAGAATCAAGGATCACTGAAGCAGAACTCAAATAGGTATGAAAAGGTCACTGACCTTCATCAGTCTGGAAATAGTTAGAAATGAATTTTTAAGGCTTTGGTGAACCACAGTGAGCTCTCTTACTCTTTTTGATGGTCACAAAATGACCCAGAACAGTATCTCAAGCACTTTATGTCTCAGTTATTATCAGGTTTGTGATTTAACAAAGGAAATGAGAATGAGACGATATGGCATCACTGGCACTAAAGTGGAGATTTTCCCAAAAATTCCCAATTGTTTCTGATTCCTACCCGTCAAGTTTTGAATTTGATAGTAAGCGATGTTGACATGTGCTGCTAGCAGTCCGACTACCCTAGTCAAGCTCTATTATCTTGTCTATTTTAAGACGTTCTGAATAAATCTAAAATATTCACTTGTCAACCAATTACAAACTACAATTAGCTGATCAAATTTTGACTTGCTCTGCTAGTGAAATTCCATTTTAGAAGGAAGACAAATGCTTTTTTTTTTTATTTAATTTTATAATACGATAACACAGGACATTTATGGGAGGTTGCTAATATGGGAGGGCGGAGTGAAAGAGGGCTAAAATATGAGGTCTTGGCCAAAATGGGAGACTTGACTACGCTCTGATTGCAACGTCGACCAAGCCTGAAAGGAAGATAACCCGTGGGCTCTTCTCTGGGAAACCATCTCCAGGATTGATTCAAACAACATTGTGGCCCAGATAGAGAAGCTGCATTCTGTACTGTAGCTCGGTGCCAGCCTGTGACCCCCGTACAAGAGAGAGGAATATCTTCTGCCCCACAGATGGGATTGTTTTTATTGTCCAGGCAGTGAGATATAGGGCCACCATGACCTTCAGTATGACATCAGAGGAGATGAGAAGACTTTTCAACAGAAACTGAAATAATCCAAAACACTTTACATATCATGTGGTTTGGTTGAATAATAAGTTCATAAAGCTTTGTTCACTATTCCAGATTAGTATATTATGTTTTGGTTTCTGCTGTTTTTGTGTGTTGCTTCTTTTTATCTCTAACGAATGCTTGTAATTATACATTAGCTAGCCTGTTAACACATGCATGCTTATAGTTAGCCAGAAACCCTTGCTGAATTTTCTCTCAGCCCTAGGTAATGTCTTTACTTTTTATGAAAATAAGATAATAATAATAAAAAAAGAACTCCTGGTCTGATTAACTACTGTTTGTTTACTGAACATTACAAATAACAGGTTTGATAATTAGATTGTTTGTTTAATGTTGAATTGGAGACTGACGAATAAATCATTGAATTGTTCATTCTTTGTCAGGTATTGCTCGCACTTGAATGCACAATTCATTCTCAAACCCAAATTGTCAAAGACTGACGATTGGCCAGGACTACTGTGATCCCACTCGTCATTTATTGGTGTGCAGGGTACATGCAAAACTTACCCTGACTCTTCCCTAACTATAAACAAACTAGTATACATTTACTAAAGCTACCAACAGCTACTTTTTCAGGTAAAAATTTCATTACAGGTTATAAAATGTCAGCAACGTCTCGTGAACCTTGTGCATCAGAATGTGATGAAGTGATAATATGTTGCTACACATGATGCCAGTTCTGTATAAGGNCATCCATCCATCCATCCATCCATCCATCCATCCATCCATCCATCCATCCATCCATCCATCCATCCATCCATCCATCCATCCATCCATCCATTTTTTTGTCACGTTTATCTCAGGCGGTGTCACAAGGGGTGCTGGTGCCTATCTCCAGCTGTCCATGGGCGAGAGGCGGGGTACACCCTGGATAGGTCGCCAGTCTATTGCAGGGCAACACATAGACAAAAAGGACAAACAACCCTTCACACACACACTCACATGGAGCACATGATGTGATTTGTTTTACCTAATTGGATAAACCTATTTAAACATCTGAATGATTTTTTTTTTACCTTGCGGCTCTCAGATAGATAACAGATGCCTGCTGTGTCTCTGAAAGTGTGAGGGTTTGTTCTATGCTGAGTGTAAAACAGTGAAATGCTGTATTGTGTCGGCGATTGACTCCCTGTGGAGAGGACAACAGTGCCTGTAGGTCTTCCTCTATTGAAGAACAGCTTTATTCAGCTCAGACTTCCTACAGACAGAGCTATTAAGGCTCCAGTACAGGAGAGACAGCACTGTCACTTAAAGATTTGTGTGGATTAGACTTTCAAGGGGGGTTCAGGTGGGGGGCATCTCTGAATTTGATGATCACCTCTTTTCTTTCTTGTTTTTTTTTTCTTTTCTTTTTTTTTTTTTTTTTTTTTTTGCAGAAGGGGAGGTTTACACATGGGGAAAGGGAGCCCGTGGACGCCTTGGAAGAAAGGAGGAGGATTGTGGGATACCAAAGCCGGTGCAGCTCGACGAGAGTCACCCATTCGTTGTGACATCGGTGGCTTGTTGTCATGGCAACACTCTGTTGGCAGTGAAACGTAATATTTTGCTTATTACCCTCAGTTAACAAATGATGTGATGAAATCTGACTAAAGTGATGAAAGACTGTCTGAACTCCAGACAGGCGTCTTCAGATGGGGACACAGGGATGAATGTTTGTGAGAGCAAATGTAAGGAGACTTTGTTAGCTCAGGAGAAACCAAACAGAGTTATTTCTGCTATAAATGCTTATTCTGGATTTCATTTTACTGTGATAATATCTGAACATTAGAGAGAGCATTAATCCTGGTGTTTCTAATAATGTTACAATGATGGCGGCCCACTCATCTCCAGAATCAGCTGCTTTTCTTTAAAACCCTCCTGAGATCTGAGAAAAACACAGAAATTTTGAAATGATAGAAAGGGCACCAGCGCCACTAGTTATTGCATCTGATTTCTGGTCAGATAAAGCAAGATCCACACATTAACTTACTGTTATGTCAGTGAAAAGATAGATCCTCTTCCCCAAAACAAACACTAATCACGCTTTGCAAAAGCATTCCAGATTTTCTTATTTGATAGATGGATATAAAATTGTAATTATTTATTAACTGGTTTGATCGAAACCATCCCATTACAGCTGTAAGTTTAGGATTGTTTTTATGTTGGAGGAGAAACCTCGATCCCACGCTCAGCTCTCACCTCCATTTATCCAATCATGGACTCTGACCTGCTTCTCCCTCCCCACTGAAAAGAAAGTATCCCCACAGCATGATGTAATAAACAGTTTGAGTGAAAATAGATTTTAATTTACGTCTGACTTTTAGACATTTACTGTAATGGGAAAAACAGCAAGCCTTTCTTGTTTTCACTTTCTTAAATCACACTTATTTGATTACTGGTCGGGTATCAAGAGTAAAGAAAAAATAGTGAACAAACTTTTTCATGACTGTATGCAAAAATTAACTAAATATAATGGTATCTTTTTTCAGTATTTTTTTTAGAAGTTAGTGGTCCTTGTGCTGTCAGTAACTAGTGGTTTATAGACACATACAGAAAGTTTCTAGGAAGGGCTTTTCATCATGTTTGAAAGCTTGTGCTGTGTTGCACTCTGATCAATCTCTCAGAAACATCTCAGCCAGCATACATTATCCATTTAGTCTGACCCAAAGGACTCACATCTTGTTTAATAGTTAAATAATCTCAAACAAATCAAAGATTGCTTGAAATTCCACAGCAGAAGAGAATGAATAAAGAAAGACACAAAAATGTATTGATATTTCAGATGAGAGTGACTGAAGAGCTAACTCACATCTTCTCACATCTAATGTTGCTGTGACTGAGAAAAATGCAACACACTGTGCTTCCAAAAAAGCACAGAGATGACTTTTAGAGTAAAAGAAACTAAACATTATGCTAAATCTCATTTGGTGTATTTTTCACTAGAGCAAGTCGGGAGGAAAAGAACAGATAGAAGGTGGAGGGATGCGTCTCAAAAGGATGATTTGATGAAATGATTTAATTACAAGAGCTGCTGATGATTTAACCGATTCCCCTAAATCGGATCTTATAGACAGTTCTAGCTCTGCTTTGTCCCTCTGTCACAGCACGGCCCACCGTCCCCCAAAGTATGCACTGTTTTCAGCCGTCTGACTCAATCTGTGTACTTGGGGATTGAGCTTCTCACCGGGTGTTGATGTATGTTCATGTAAGCTTGAGTCGTGGCATCAGGTTGCCAGTCTTCTTGCAAAATCCATGAATCCTTCTGCATCAGATCAAGTAACAAACTCAAACTTCAAACTATGCTGTTGGTATAACTGTAAAGTGGAAGGAAAATGATGAATGTTTCATATAAATCATGTATTTGAGCTCAGCCTCCTTTTCTCAGATAATCTTTAATGAAGTCTGATGCTACCAATTGCATCCAGAAGCTAACTGTGAGGACCAACTGGAGGATCTGCAGATCTGCAGCTAGAACTAATAAATGTGTACTCCAGAAAAAAAGCTTTGATAAGATTGATGGTCGTAAATACAGGACAGTGAAAAGAAAGCAGTTTATAGGCTACATTAAACCTGGCTGAAGTTAAACTCATTTTTATATAAGAGTAGCAAACTTTTTAGTCTGTAGATATGCAAAGCTGGTAGAGATACACTGTGCCACAAAACAGCTGCTCCTGCAGCTGTAGTAAAAGGTGGTTCTGCAAAGAAGTGAACTCAAGTGGGCTGAATACTAATGGACTCCACACTTTTTTATTTTTAATGTTTCCCTTTGCTATTTTTTTTTAAATGATTCACTGCTTTTTGTTGGTCTGTAACACTAAATCCTAGTGAAATACCCTAGATTTTTAAGGTTATATACAGTAGTGATTGACTATAAAAAAGCTTAACAAGTATGAATAGTTAAATCATTTTACAAGCTTTAATTTGTAAAGTATGTATACTTATACAGCAGGTTTCTTGTTAATATTTTAAGATGATTTAGCACCTTTGTATTTTTAAACCCATATAGATAGAAAATGTAGATTGTTGACAAATGTATTTACCATAAAATTTCCTTAGGGTGTACTAACATTCTTATTTTGTTTTCTTTTCTTTTTGTTTTGCAGCATTTTTTGAAGATCCAGTTTCAAGATGACTTTGAGCTGAAAACCTTCGCCTTGACTAGTCCTTTATAAGGATCATATATGGAGCAGACCCTCCTCTCACTCTGCAGCTACAGTTTCACTTCATCTCTCTGCTTTTGTCTTATGCACATATGTTTGTTCCAATTGGTGGGTGGATGACACACACAGAGGGGTCAGAATCTGTCCAAACCAGCAGGTGTTTCTCACTACAGACATGCCAAAGGAATGTTGCAACACTGATACTGAAGCTGGATTACAGGAGCTCATTAGGCAGGCCTCATGTGGTGAGTGATTGTCTCTCCTCACAGTCAGCTTTCTATCAGTAAACTATGAAAAGCCAGTGAAAGTCAAACAGGTTTTGTCCTTCTTAAGACGCTAGTGAATGAGCCAAAAAGAATGAAGCCACTCTGTCAAGTGACGAGAGCGTCGCACCACGAGGGGTCAGTTTGAATGTTATTGGATCAGTGCTGCAAACGCAAACAGTAACGTTTGAACCAGATAACGAGCGGGGTGTTAGGGGGACATGCTGGACTGAGACTGCAGCCTCCCTCTTGTTTAGACACATCCACAGCTTCTCTAGAGCAGGGAATAGCAGCCTGTAGAGAAAACAAGCAGCTATTCACACTGTTGCGAGCAGTAAATAACTTGCTATTAACAGCGTTGCTTTCATTCCATCTGAGGAATTTTTACAGGCTGAACAGCTGACGGTTTCCACATTGTAAAAACAACAGCAGATAAAAGTCCTTCATAAGATATAAAGAGGTGTGGGACACAGTTTAGCATGTTTCAGGCTTTAGTATGTAGCTCATATATTTTTAATAATTTATAGATGCTATATGTGTGAGATGTTCTTAGAAAAAGCAGATCTTAAGCATAAACATCTGATCTCTGTGGATCCAAAATGTTTGACTTTTAAAGGACAGAAAGTCTCCCCCCCCCAGGACAGAATGAGCATTTAAAGAAACTCTTCCTGTCCTCATCTGATAAGAGCTAATTATGGACAAACAGGGTAGAAAGAAAGCAATGTGAAGGAATGGGTTGCTTTGTTTTTTGGTGTGGCTTTAAGTAGGTTTAATAAAGCCTTAAGATCTGCTTGATTTAAATGAAAACATGAAACCATAGTATGAAAATCTTTTATACAGAATCCAGAGAGTTTTATTTGACTTTTATTGTGGGCAGTCTAAGACACACCTGTGCACTAATCATGGTGTGTAATCAGCATCTTGATTTAGCACACCTGTGAGGTGGGATGGATTATCTCACTAAAGGAGAAGTGCTCATTATCACAGAGTTAGACTGGTTTGTGAACAATATTAGAGGGAAATGGTGATTTTTTTCATATGTGGAAAAAGTTTAAGGTCTCTTGAGTTCATCTCATAAAAAATGGGACCAAAACCAAAAGTGTTGCATTTATATTTTTGTTGTGTGTATAGTCATTTGTATCCTAATAAAGAGTTGTTAAGCAAAATATGGGGTCCGAAATGTTATATGTCCTGATAAAGTGATGTGTTGATCTTTAAATAAAGACCCCCTGACATAATTTCTCAAAAGGTTTTTTTAAAGGGTCTATTTTCACATTTTGTCACATTATCCCACAGTCCCAATTGTTAACTTTAGCAATACAAGGAAGGGTATACCTGTGACTTGGAACAAAAATGTCACATTTTTAAAAAGTTCAGAGATAACAAATGTGAAAAGTTCATCCGTTCATTCTGCATATTGATTAGCTAATACATACTAACTGAACCACCTTGTGCTTTAAGTCCTCTAGGCTTTGTCTCAACTAGCTTTCTATGTCTAAAAAGTAGTTTTTATTTTGATTTTGATTCATTTACTTCATAACCAGGTTTGCCCAAAGTCATTCATCGAGGGTCGCTGTCCTGCATGTTTAAGATGTTTCCTTGCTACGCCAAAGCTGATTTCCATTGATTAACAGGCTTTGGCTGAACTAAAGTCATCAGAATCAGCTGTGCTAAAGCAGGGAAACCTCTAACAGCAGCCCTAGTGGGCCGACTTTGGGCATGCCTGTCTTAAATTATTACTCTATATTAAGCTTCTTCCATTTATTATGTCAACTTTTGAAAAAATAAATAGCAGATGCCCTGTGTTTCCACCGCTTAGATCAGAATGTGTTGATTATTATTTGTCAAAGCTCTCTCCAACAAAATGCCACATACATTGAGACTTAAGGTCAATTTAATTTTATGGTCCTGGAGTGTGAACCTTACTAGAACCAACAGTGTAAAAACATACAAACTTCCTTCAGGGAAACCCTTAAAGCCATGATGTGAAATTATTACAAGTGATGCAAATGAAAAAAATGTGTGCTGCACATATAAGATTTTTATTTTATAATAAAATTTAAAATGCAAATGTCCTCTTTTCTCCATCCTAGTCATATATATTTTTTCCTTTTTATAAAATCCCAAATTATATGAATTAAAGTTTGTGATTGTGACAAAGCTAAAAAATGGTTAAAGGGCTGTGACCACTTTTCCCACTGTTTATTTTATCATGTATTTCTACTGATGTACCAAATAATTATAATGCTTGAAAAAACAACAAAGCAGCATTATGTCAGCTTTTGTCTCATCGTATAAATATAAGAATTTGTTCTCTAAAACATGAATTTTTTTTGTCATCCAACAGTTAATGTTTGACTTCTTTTAAATATTTTTTAAACCCTATAAGCTGATGTATCTCCTTGCAGACACCTTTTGTGAGGATCTGGCCCTGCTGCCATTGTTGTCCTTGTACTGGTGATGTAATGGTGATGTAATCCAGTGGCAATGCAGCAGGTGAAAGAACATCCATGTGTGGATCAAAGCTTCTCTACCCACGTTCCTCATTTTATTCAAGTGTTTTTTACTTTTATTTTTTAACAGTCGTAACAATGTCAACTGAAAAAGATTTAAATCGCATAGCTGCTGAATTATTTGCAAAGATCAGAAGTATTTTTGTGAAGTTAATAAACTCTCCACCACTAGAGGGCCTCGTCGTCCTCATTTGAACTCTAATTTGATTTATTTATGTCAATAATTCGCTTTTTATTTTTGTTATATTTCACATTTTTTGCATAATTTAAACATATATGTGCTTTTATTACATTGTATATCTAAAATGAAGATAGGTAAAAGCCCAATTATAGAGATAAGGGAGAGGAAATGAAGTGAAAGCAGCTCCTGGACTCCTCCTGCTTAGAGGAGGAGGAGGAGGAGGAGGAGAATAAGGAGGAGCTGTGTGCACCTAGACAGACTGAGGGTAATGCATTGTGTTCAGTGGATCAGTCCTGCACTCAGCGCTGTCAGAGTGAACAAACCCAGCGGATAGGTGGCCTGGATCGGTTCTGCTGCAGGAGGAGAGAGAAGCGGAGGACTCGATCCGTCAGGGACGGGCTGGACGTCAGCTTCTCCTCCGTCTCTAACAGCTCCGTGTCTGCAGGGGAGGGGGGGGAGTAAACAAGGGGCATCAGCTGCACCTTTCTAACCTGAAGGCCGGAGAGAAAAGCCCCGCAGACATGCCCGGCTTCGACTACAAGTTCCTGGAGAAGCCGAAGAGGCGCTTCCAGTGTCCGCTCTGCAGCAAGGCGATGCGGGAGCCCGTCCAAGTGTCCACCTGTGGACACCGCTTCTGTGACACCTGTCTGCAAGAATTCCTCAGGTACGGTCCCCCCTGCCTGCCTGTCTGTCTGTCTGCTTGTCTGTGTGCAGAGATCCAGCTCTCTGCAGGTGATTCCTCACACCGCTGCTGTTAAATAAGCATGTGAAGGTGTGTCCTGCTCACCTTTCCTCAGCGACCATTTCTGTTTTTATTTTTACTCTTTTGTGCTCCTGCTGCACAAAGCAATTGGAGAACCTGAGGCCTGGTGAGCATTTCATTTCATTTCATTTAGATATAGCCTTTTCCCCTCCACATGTGTGAATGTAAACTGACCTATAGTGATCATTTATTGTGTGCTGCTGCAAAGCAGGGCTTATTTCTGCAAATATATCTTTAGGTAGAGGTGATTTGGAGTTCACAGCTCTCTTGTTGTGGTTTATTGTGCCCTGCAGAGGGCCCCTGTCTCCTCATCCTGCAAAGGATGCCTCAGTGTATTTTGTCCCTGTGCCTGAAATTAGACTGGCTCTTTTCACCTCAGGGGGCCCCACTCTGAGGGACCTTTCACTTTGGGGTCAGAACCTCATCACCCTCCTAATCTGCTTCACACTGAAGTCTGTGTCAAGACTCCTACAAAGACAGCCTTTGTTTTAATGGTTTTTAAGATGGTACCAGCAGTAATTATCTCTCTACACTTAAAGGACACTCACATCAGCCTAGTTCACACACATATGTCCTTTTTCAGACTAATCCACCACAACATAAGACATCAGCTCATCTCTTCACTGCATTGAGTACACATTACTGCTTGTTTATCTTTATTTAGGTTTTAAAGGTTTACTTCTTTTCCCATCCCAACCCATGAGCACACTTGGTTGTGGTAAACGTTAAATCTTATCCCAGAAATCAGATTCTTAAAATCATTAAAGATTATAGTTTTATAGTATGGATTAGGCTTTGATTGGGGGACACAGATTTGATCATTGCAGGTATATTGGTTATTTGTTTATTTTTATCTGTGAAATTGTCTTATTAGGAGCAGAGAGAACAACTGCAAACAGTTGCTCTGAGACTAAGAAATATTTATGATCATGAAATTATCAGTTTTTTTCTGTCACATTTTGTATCGTTGAATTGAGACCATAGAGTCGGGATTAGAGCCCACCAAGATTAAGATAAGACTAGACGTTAAAAGCGTGGATTCGAAAACGCTCTCCAGTAAGTCTGGCATCTTTTATCTTCCAGGCACTGCTACCACAGCAGCAGCTGCACTGTAAATTCTTACCTGAACCGCCATCCCACATTTCCAAACCCAACAAGTTCCAATGCAAACACAGGTTAAAAGTTCAAAAGGATTGAAAGTTTCTTCCTTTTTCTGCATGAAACATCTCTTTCTCTCTCTCTCATGCTGCAGAAATGAACCACAAACTATCAACATGTCATTCAAAACATGGTTTAGTTTTAAGCAGCTCGTTCTGACTTAAGTTTTGAACAATGCACTGTTAATGATTGTAGCTCCTTTCGTTAGTTGGTAACATCCTGCCCACTAAAGACGTGCCAATCACCCTTCATTTCCTTAATCTACGTCTATTAATAACTTATTAACATTAATAACTGCCACTGAGCTGGTAAAGCCTTTATTGAGGTAATATTTCATTTAGATTTCTACGAGTTAGGGATCATGATGTCCGGACATTAGGATTCAGTTTTCACGTGTTATAAAGAACATTAAATGAGATATTTTCGGAGGTGTATTATAAGAAAAAAAGCATTCAGTGAAGCTAAACCACTTCAAGCCGACACAGCATATTTTTCCTGATCAGATCCTTCATTCCATTAAATTCATCAAACCTTTGTTCATAAATTTTCAGTTCCAGATAACCTAGTGGTGGATACCACCAACAAAGTCATTGACATCAACTCTGCTAAATCACATTAAACTATTTAATATTACCCATACTTTTACAGCACTAATATAGTATTAGGTTTAACTTTTTATTTTAATCTTTGCTCCCTAAAATACTCTAAATGTATATTACTTGCTACCGTTTTTCCAAACTTTATTCCCATTCTCGTCTTTAAGACGATAATCTGAGGTTCTCATAAGTCTTTATTCTTATTAAATAGAAAAGTTAACCCATTTATTGTGAAGGTGGCATTAATTTATCTTTCATATCCAGATCTCTCAACACCAACAGGCATTGTTTTTGAGTAAGTGATGTTATTGACAGCTACATCCATTCTGCTCACACTCCTCTGAAAGTATTTTAGATAGATGGTCCTGAAGGTTAAGGAATAGGTTTTCGGAAAGCATTGTCTGTTATCAGATTGGATTATATATATTCTTAATTCTACTTTTACATAGCCTGACTGCATGATTTTTGAGTTTATACTTTCTAAATTTTGGGTTAAAATGATGAAACCAGATATTTGAATCTGGAAAAGTATTTATTTAGTATTTTGTGAGGAAAACCAGAAGTATGTCGGTCTGATTGATCTGCAGTGTTATTTTAGCTCTATTGAAGCTGCAGATCTTAAAATGTCTTCACTTTTGAGTTGATGCAACATGAATTCTGCCTGGGGGTGAAGCTAATCAGCAAACAGAGTTTTATCAAACTCTCCGCTTGCTTTAAGAGGATGGGGGAGATCATATTTGGTGATTGTACTCCGTTAGAGCATCTGCTGGTGGATTGATGCTGTGAATACATTATATGGTCGTGATTTCCGGGTCTGCAGTGGTTTTTGAGTCATCAGGAAGCCTCCTCTGGTTTATTAAATCGGAGCAACAAGGAGTGGAAGAACGAACGGAAGCGAGGGAGGAAGTTTTTTTCTCTTTCTGATCAATGAGTTTGGCCCGACGCTTTGTCTGCCTCGTCCCGCTCGCCTCCATGCATCTCCTCCCCCGGTTTATGGTCCGCTTTCTCCTCCTACACACTCTCTGAAATGACTGTTTTATAACTCAGCAAAGTTTAAGTGGAGTCATTTTTTTGGTGTCGCTTTAGAGGGATCAGTTTTTAACCCTATTGATAACCAAAAATTTACAGATCTGTTGATAAAAATGTTTAAATGGTTCTATACTAAGGATGTGTAACAGTCATTTCTTTTACCTTAAAACAGCATAGCTGCTGAATAGAAAGTCAGACTTGGTGTTTGTAATCTCTACCTGCAGCATAAAGTCTTTACTTTATAGCCACGAATCAGAAGTTTCATTGTTAAATAAATTTATTATACATCATTTTGTTAAAATATGTATTCAGACTTAGAATTAGACAACTTTTATTGTCATTTTGTATACACAACAAAATGTCATTTTGTGCAGCTCTCATGACATTTCCATATCTTAAAGTGCAGCAGTGATCGTATGTAAACAGTGTGGGAGAAAAACATAGTACATATTTTGGACTAGCTGGATGACAACAAAGGGTCAAACTATCACTGATCATGGTAGTTTTTGCTTTAAGAATAAATTTCCTGCTTCTCTGACATATTAAAAGCAAATAAACATTATTAACCGCAGCAGACTTGTGGGCGCTGACAGATCCCCTTGGCAGGCTGCGTTTGCACCTCTTTAATTAACAAAGTGTGCCGCTTGTGGCCATTGAGCCGGGCAGCGCCCATTGTGAGCCGAGTTCAGGTTTATTGAGACTGACAGACAGCAGTTAGCTAATGCTGCGCACATTGTGCAAACACAAGTTGATCCTCTTTCCCACTAATTATTAAAGGTTGTATCACCTCCAGTCTAGACATGCCAACCCAGCAGCACACTTTCACATGATCAATCAAAGAAATGTTCACTTTTCGACCTTAAAATTTCAACTTTTATTTGGAGTTTGTGTAATAGACAATTCAAACTACTAGTAAGATTGTTAAATTGCAATAAAACCAATGCTTTATCACGCCTTGTTAACCAATGAAAATCTAGAACTGTGTCCAAACAGTTCTCTTTGCTTTGATCCACCTGAGATAACATGACATTGTAACTTCAGTTTCTGCCCAACAAGCAGAACTGTAGAAAAAAAGCAACTTTCCATCGTTGACAACATCATCCCTACAGTGAAGCATGGAGGTGCCAGCATAATGCTGTGGGGATGTTGTTGTTTTTTTTTTTTTGCATCAGGGACGGAGAATCAGTTGCAACTTGATGGAGGAAATGGATGGATGGACTTAAGTAAAAGCTGACCCTCGACATCCAACTGGAGCTACAGTCTAATGTTCGCTCAACATATACTAATGTAGAATTGTTCAGTCACTGGTTATAAATCAAACAAAGAGGGTAAATATATTATGTTAAGTCAAGTTATTACACTTGACAAGATATTTAAATATTAGGCAACCAAAGTTTCTAAGACCTGCTGTTTGGAGTATATAAAGAAAAGGAAAAAACCTTAAAGGGGAAGTGGTTGGTTTTTATTTGGGGGGGGGGGGGGGGGATATTGGAGTTTTTGCTTGACTGGTTCTTGAGAGGCACTGAGGGAAACGCTGGGATTGTTTTCGCTTCACCGTGTCCAGGCGCCTCTGTTAGCATGTGATGCTAATGGGCTGTGTTTCCTCTCAGAGAGGAATGTGCAGCAGCAGCAGTCCTGCAGGCTGCCCTCGCTCCAAGGGAGAGTCATGGGGTAAGAGCGGGCCTGCCTCCCTGCTTTAACACTTTCTGCAATCAAAGTCACATGCTTCAGCAGCTCGGGGTGTTCCCATCAGGACGGGCCTTTATTTTGGCTCCTCTGCTCGTCCTTTAAGGAATGATTGATGCTTAATAGCTTAGCACTGGGCCGTGCACACTGGACCCAACAGAGACACGGTGTGACAGCGGTGCCCGCTGCAGGGATGATGGTCTTGGCAGAAGAAGAGGGGGGTCGGCTTCACTCTGGAGCATCTTCCTTTTACAAGAGTAAATGTCCAACATTTGCATATCTTTATTAGCCTTCGTGTCAAAACAAGCGGAAGATTTCGTTTTCTATGTTCTAACTCTGCATCTTCTCCCGTGTGAAGTGCAACTTTTGCACCCATCACTTCTGTTGCTTCTGTATACTGATGTTTTCTGTTTCAGCATATAAGAGTAATTT